TGTATTGTTGAATTAATAATATGTTATTTTGTACATTAATACTAACACTTATAATTATTTATCTTTTTCCTGATAATTCTTATATATCTCCATCCATATATCCTACGGCCGCCGTGATCGATTTTCTGTATGAAGATAATATATTATGTTAAATATGTATAGTGTACCTACGTAAAAAAGAAAAATTTACAATGTAGTTATTATATGATGTATTTATGTTTTTATTTTTCGCTTCACGCAGGTTCTATATAAAGTATACATAATATTATTATAAAAAAGTAAATCTATCATCTATGTGATAAATTGATAAATTGTCAAATTGACATATGATTATAAAATAAAATAATAATAAAATTATATTTTAAATTTTAAACGGTCATTAAATTTACATATTGTTGCACGGATATAATGGAAATGTAAACTATTAAAGTGTATGTATACAATATCAGATGTTCACCAAGAATAAATAATATATAAAAACAGTTACAAGGAAAAAGGTACCACACATCATTAGAAGAGTTTACTTTAAAAGGTTACTTATAAAAATGTTATGTCGATACGCGAACACTTCGCGTTATTTGTTACATCATTCCTTGTTTGATGGATACATGACTATGTTCATCACTGGTAATAGGTGAGAGGATACAATAAATACAATTATATTTATTATGTTATGTTTATACGCGAACACGCTCAGTGACTTTGAAGATGCATTGTGAAAAAAATTATTATACGCGAACGCACATCTAAAGAATTTATTCGTGATAAACTGACATGATGAGATGTGTGTGGTGAGTAAGTAAGCAGTCGATCGATGTGCAGGTGGCACAGCTCAGGACGGTGATCTATCTGATGTGATGATGATGATGATGATGATGATGATGATTATGATGATGATGACGATGAAGACGACGTGACGACGTGACGACGACGACGATGCTGCTGCTGCTGCTGCTGCTGCTGCTGCTGCTGCTGTTGATGATGCTGATGATGATGATGCTGATGATGATGCTGACGATGATGATGGTGACGACGACGACGACGATCATGATGATTACGATGGCGGTGGTTGGTGATGGTGGTGGTGGTGATCGTGATGATGGTGGTGGTCCTGGTGTGGGTGATGATCATGATAATCCGTCGTGAGACAGGTAAGTATTAAAGTAACCCTATGATGACGGCTCGTCATAATGTTATGCGTATACGCGAACACTTTCCGTGTCTTAGCGAACTATTCGTTCAATACACGAACCGCCGGAGACGCATATCTGCAGTCGTACATATGTATAGACGAAGCACGAGCGGTGCTAGTCGAATCTCACAATACGACAAATTTTCAAGTCTCATGTGTTTTGTTAGATTAGATGTTTTGTGGTGTTGTGCGATTGATATATTATAAATATAAATATAAAATATGATATTTATTTATAATATTTATTATATTATATATTTATATATTATGATCGTCGTTGTTGAACTGTGTCGAACGACGTCTCCGTTTATTGAAGCGGTAAGACGTATTTGAGCGTTCGTTTAATTAACGCGGTACACGTTCGGTGAGCGAGTTGACTTCGCGTCCATCGTTAACGTCCGTTAAATTATGCTCGTCGCCGTGGTGCGTTTTTTATAATCGTATTCGCGGGACGGTATTTTATTTTAAAAAATGGATATGATCTCTCTAACACCGGGCGATATATGTCGTTTGTGTTATTCACGAAAATAATATCAAATGTGTTAAATGATTATTAACATAGTGAAGTATTCACACAGTTGTCTCGTTGTTGAACGTTCTATGAATTGGGCGCACTTGAACGTCGTCCGCAGTAGGTCTGGGTTAATACGTGCGAGTGACGTGAGATACCCGATCTCGCCCGTGACCAGACTGAATAAGAATTCATATATTCTCTCATACGGCACCGGTGCGTTTTAGCGTTAAAACGCTTGCGCGTCGCGTTGCACGTGTGGTCTCGGAGTGTATAGTGACAACGAGACTCAAGTTCTCTCTGTCAGCTCCCTGGTTGATCCTGCCAGTAGTTATATGCTTGTCTCAAAGATTAAGCCATGCATGTCTCAGTGCAAGCCGTATTAAGGCGATACCGCGAATGGCTCAATATATCAGTTTTGGTTCCTTAGATCTTACCTCGGTTACTTGGATAACTGTGGTAATTCTAGAGCTAATACATGCAATCAGAACTCTGACCAGTGATGGGATGAGTGCTTTTATTAGATCAAAACCAATCGACGGAGGGCCTCGCGTCCGAAGTCGTTAATTTTGATGAATCTGGATAACTTTTGCCGATCGCATGGTCCAGCACCGGCGACGCATCTTTCAAATGTCTGCCTTATCAACTTTCGATGGTAGTTTCTGCGACTACCATGGTTGTCACGGGTAACGGGGA